CGTTGAATAAAGTGCTCCAAAAGTGGGAAACTCCCTTCAACGTGGCATAACCAGGGAGAGGGGTTGGGGTACCCAGCATAGCCAATGCGCGACCGGGGAAGGGAGGGTTACAAATGACCAAACATGTTTAACGTAATTTATTCACGGCTCCTGACCTCTCTTATTATGATGAGAAAAGCTTTGATAGAAACTTGATGCGAAAAACTTACCCTTGCAAAGTACTAAACAGCATCTGCGCAATGGATGATCTCGAGGTTACCGAATATCTACACTGAAATCGAACACAGGTGGACCTCGCAGAATGATGTTTGCACTCACAATAGTGAAAATGGTCGACATCGGAGGTCTGATGCGCGTCTCTGTGCTGTGAATACACCTGAAAATACATTGGTGTATCAGGGCTGACGGCCACGCACCTGCATATATCGTACACATATTAATTAGGTGCTTGCATCCTAGTTTACTCTGATATATAGTAGCATCATCCACGCTCTCACATATGAAGTGTTAGTTTCCAAAAAGCGACAGCATTCTTAATATTGCGATGGCATTTGTTCATGCTGTTAAAACATCGCACAAGCCCAACGATGACAACTATCATTTAGTATAGCGCGTATTTCACCACCCGTCTTACACAAATGTTCGTTGTTGGCAAACTTTCCCCAGTTCTATCTTTGCCCCCCTTCTGGGTACACGCCGTCTAACCATGACTAGAGTGCAGAGAAGTGCGTGTCGAACTCACCGGTCACGAGCTGGGTGCTTGACGGTGGCGATTGCTGAGAGGATGGAGGCGCGCCGCGGTGTGCCACTGAGCAGGTGCACCATAACCTTTATAGGCTTCGGACAGAAGGTGACCCCTAGCTGCGCTGCTGCTCTTCCCAGAATGAGGCACTGCCCTTCCACTCCTGCGTATAACATTCGGAAATGCCTCCGCAAACGCAGCAAATGATTCCGTCTGGGTATCGAAATGGATGTATAACAATAGACAATGCACAATGGAATCGACCGGCTGCTTCGTTTGAAGAGCTGACGTTGCGATAAAAAATAGCAACTAAATGACGATGACATAACATACGCCACTGTTTGGCCCACTTTCATGCCGTGCAGGCAACCCTCTCTCCCGAAGCTCCGTAACGGCTGCCAGATGCCCCCGGCAGCGAGATGAGATTGCAGACGTGCAACGACCCATGCTTCTCTGTCATTCCGTGTCTAAATCTGAGGCTGCGGGAGGGCGGCTGGGAAAACCGGCCACCGTCCACTGTTCCTGGAAGGCGCGGCTCACTCCGCGACTGGGCCTCCTGCTTCTGGAAGGCGCGCCTCATACCGCAGTTGGGCCAGCGGACTGCAAAAGAGTCTGACGTATGGTTGAGACTGTATTAACTCCTCAGGCCTGCTAAAATGAGCATTCTCCAGAGGATCAAGCAGCACTTGAACGGGCTACTGCGCAGTTCGAAATCGAGAGCACGCCGAAATAGGATGACGAAAGACCGCATACGATTGGTAGTTGTCGGACAACGTAAATGAAGAACTGTTCATAGTTTGTGTTTCTTGATCAGGGTTAGTTGGGCCAGACCAAGAAGCCATCCCCCGTCAAAAGCAGTCACTGGTTCCCCCATGATACTTTTTGTTTCTCTTATTGTTTGACATCACAAGGTCTGTGCATGTTAAATGCCTATGTGGCGCAGGTGTTGAAAGTGAGAGACAAGACTGCAGCTGTGTGGTCGTATGTTGCATGCCTTAGTGAATTTGAATACTGCTTAAAAAACAAATGCGAGCGGCTGGTGTAGCATTTTTTTAAAAGTTGGGACCATACCACATTATCAGGTGATTTCCAGATGAATTCTTTGTCGGGGTTGATGTAAGAATTAACTTTGTTTTTGATGAATAAGCTTAATTTAGAACCAGCTTTGTCAACTGAAGTGAAATCTTCTCAAAATGTCTACCAAATAATCTCGTAAACTGGAACACAGAAGCTGCATAGAACTTGTCGCCAATCATCTTGTCTTGCATTGAACCAAACGCATAGAATTAAATAGCTCTCGGACTGTTTCTGGCATCCTTCGCAGGGTTGGCATGGTACAAAATACAAAGCAAAGGAAGGCCCAGCCTGTTCTCAAAGTTTGGGGGCTGGTACCCAAGTTGGGAGCCGAAGTCCCCCTCCCCCAACTGAGAAGGAGAATAACTAAAACCGAATTGCACACCCCTGGTTTGCAAGTAGGCCAATTATTTCATTATTGTGATGTGTGAGAATGTTGCAAAGGTGGGTGTACTGAACCGCTTCCAGAAGTTTATCAACTGGAGCTGATGCAATAGCAGGAAAATGAAAATCCTGACTGTATTCAACACTACTCCAGCTAAGATCACATGCGATCAAGTGTATTTTAAGATGGTGTGTTTTAAAATTACACGTTTAAATGAGAGCAATACCTTTTGTTTTAAAAAATCAGAATAGTTCGCACGACCCTCAACTAACTTCAGCTGATCGGGCCACTACAAACAGGCTAGGAACCTTAATAGATGCTCAAATGTGGACATAGACAAGTACGCATCGTGTGTGTCGATGGCATCCCAAACTTATCGCGCCATGCTGCGCTTCTCATTTTTCCCCGACTTCATTCAATTCACATTACATTACTTTACCAGAAACGCTACCAATGCATAGCATATATTACATTTTGCGGACCAAGGTAATTTCAAGTGGGCAGCAGTTCTACAAAAGGATATGCAGCGTCCATAACCATTCGATAAGGCATTGGGCCAAGTCACTACCAGACCTGATGACAATGTCACAGAGCGTCGCAAACCAACACTACCGCACTTTGTCAGCGGTAGCGAAAATCGGCTACAGAATCTGAAAGGTCCATTCACACAGCTGCGCAGCCACCAGTGATAACTGAGCCAAGCCCATTCGCATCGGCGCTCATAACTGAGCGCCAGTGCAACCGCAGAACAGCGCGCCCTGTCAAGCGACAATGATCCTACCTGAAAGGTGGTACTGGATTTTTCCCAGCTTTGAGAGCCGGCAGTCCTTTTTGATTAATTCATTTCAGTTAAATCCGTAGCAGCAACGCTACAATTTATTAACGCTGGGGCTGAGACGCCCCTGCCCTTGCTCCCCCCCCCGCCCCTAGTTACCGAGTCTATTGACGCACTCAGCGAAAATGCATGATCAAATTGTCTGGTACATATTCCAACTCCGATGCTTAGAATCACACAGCGAGGAACCGTCAGCCTGCCACTCATTCGTTATGGGTGGTCATATGGCCGTTCATGCAGCAGTACGCTGGCTCCGGCCATCTTGGCTACAGCCCGTGCTGGTGGCGCGAGGAGCCGCCAGGCCGCCATCATCATTGCATCATCGCCATGCGGTCTTCGCACGTCACGACACTTTCCGTACGAGCACTTTCACCAGCCCGGTCGTGACGCTGAGCGGCGGCGATAGATGCGCGGCACGCGACGAACGGATAGAAGACACTGAGCAGCGGCGGCTCGAGGCGTTCTCATACGCCGGTGCACTCCGAGTCGAGCTGCACCACAACGTATCGACGTGGTCGCACAGCAGGCACTGGCACACGTCGTCGGTCGTTCAGTCGCCGCGCACCAAGTCCGGGGCAGCAGCGGCAGCAGCAGTCTGAGGCCGCTGCACTCACATTTGAAAACAACAATAGTGAAGCAATGGGCCCAATCGCAAACCAGGTGTTTGTAATTCGTTTTTAAGTTGTTTTCTTTTTCAGTTGAGGAAAGGGAACGTCGGCTCCCAACTTGGGCACCGGCCCCCAAACTTTGAGAAGAAGCTGGGCAAAGTCCGGGAATGACACATTTGCTGGTGTGTGTTTGGGGTAGATTCTGTTGTTGTTCATTGTTCAGCTCCATCCTCCCCCACCCCACGAAAAAAACTCGACAGGGACATAGTTTTCCAAAAGGAAAACCTGACTTAAAGTAAGCTATTTATTGACATCAAGGCTAATTCTGACATCATCTCCGCTAAAGACTATAACTGAAAATCACCTGCTTATGTAGTGTGGTCCCAGCTCTCAGAACATGTCAGACCAACTGCAAGTATTCTGTCTTTAAACAGTGATTACCATTACTAACGAAATCAATGCACAACTACACAGCCTGTCTTGTTTCTCACTTTCAATACCTGAGGCACATGGCATTTAACATGCACAGGCTCTGTGATGTCAAACAGAGCAACAAGAACTGTCACGGGAAGACCCGGAGATTGCTTTTGCTTTTGACGGGGAAATGGTTTCTTAGTCCTTAGTCCAGTTCTTAGTCCAACCACCCTCGATCAAGAGAAACAAAATATGGACATTGTCTAACAACTACCAATCGCACGCCGTCTTTCGTCGTCCTGTTTCGACATGTACTCGATTTTCAATTACGCAGCAGCCCGTACAAGTGCCGCTCAATTCTCTGGACAAAGTTCTCTGTAGCAGGCCTGAGGAATACTGCAGTCTTAACCACATGTTCGATTTTTTTCCCGTACGCTGGCCCAACTGCGGTATGAGCCGCGTCTTCCAGGGATATTGGACGGTTTTGCAGTCTTCCCAGCCGTCTGCCGGCAACCTCATTTGGACACGAGATGACAGGGGGGCATGGGTCGTTGTACATCTGCAGTCTCGCCCTCGTTGCCGGGGACATCTGGCGCCCGTTACGGGACTTGGGGAGGGAGGGTTGTCTGCACGGCATGGAAGCGGGCCAAACAGTGGTGTATGTTATGTCATCTTCATCTAGGTGCTCTCCCTCCAATCCTGGCGGCGGCGTTTTCATCGCAACGTCAGCTCTTGGAACGCAGCAGGCGGTACTGGTCGATTGTTATGCACCTGCTTCGATACCCAGACGGAATCATGTGCTGGGTTTGCGGAGGCATTTCCGAATGTCATACGCAGGAGTGTAAGGGCAGAGCCTCATTCTGGGAAGAACGGCAGCGCAGCTAGGGGTCACCCTCCGTCAGAAGTCTATAAAGGTTATGGTGCACCTGCTCAGCGGCACACCGCGGCGCGCCTCCATCCTCTCAGCAATCGCCACCGTCAAGCACCCAGCTCGTGACCGGTGAGTTCGACACGTACTTCTCTGCACTCTAGTCGTGGTTCGGACGGCGTGTACCCGGAAGGAGGGCAACGATAAAACTGGGGAGAGATTGCCAACAACAAACAGTTGTGTAAGATGGGTGACGAAATGCGCGCTATACTAGATGACAGCAGTCACCGTTGGTCGTTTACGATGTTTTGACGGCCTTGACAAATGTTATCGTAATTTTAAACCTGACGTTATTCTTTTAAAACTTACGCTTAACTAGTGGAAATGTGGATGCCGGTGCTAAACATCAGAGTAAATTAGGATGCAAGCACCTAATTAATATGCGTACGATATATGCAGGTGTGTGGCCGTCAGCCCTGATACACCAATGTATTTTCAGGTGTTTCCACAGCACAGAGACGCGCTTCAGACCTTCGATGTCGACCATTTTTACTATTGTGAGTGCAAACATCATTCTGCGAGGTCCTCCTGGGTTCGATTTCAGTGTAGATATTCGGTAACCTCGAGATCATCCATTGCGCAGATGCTGTTTAGTACTTTGCAAGGGTAAGTTCTTCGCGCCAAGCTCCTATCAAAGATATTCTCATCACGGTAAAAGGGATCGGAAACCGTGCATAAATTACGTAAAACATTTTCGGTCACTTGCAAACCTCCCTTCCCCGGTCGCGCACTGGCTATGCTGGGTACCCCAAACCCTCTCCTGGTTACGCCACGTTGAAGAGAGTGACCCACCTTTAGGGCTATTCCAAAAAAAATCTGGTGAAGCCTCGGGTACCATTCAGTTCTAAGAAAAACATTGGGCAGTGCCACTACAACACCATCAAGATAAAGACGAGAATTTCAAGTACTTCTGAGTCCAGCCTATGCTGTCAATGTTTTGTAACAGCACTAAACTTCCTCCTTTCGTGGTAGCCCAATAGCGTATTCCCAAGACCTCTGCATCTGCAGTTGTCGCGACCGGCGTCGTCTTGACGGCGGCGGAATCTGCTGAGGGCCGCTGTCAGCTGTTATGGGTTAGATGTACCACTGTTGAGATGTTCCACCCGCACATTGCGGGTCTGCAGGCTTAACAGTGGCACCTCTACTGATATGAATGACGTCAGCACAAATGAGCGGTTGTGATTGACACCGAGGGGCGGATAGGGCCAGCTACTTTGAAGCGCACTGTCTGAAGCTTGAGTCAGTGCGCCACACCCCTCCGTTGCTAGACATTAGTTTTGGTCAGTAGCATAAGTTTTGTCACAGAAGCGATGCCCTCCAGCGGCAAGTCGCCGCTGTTATCCCCATTTGCAAACAGCACAACCCACCAAAAGCTTCAATTTTTTGAGCAGTCATTATCGTCCCAGCCGTCCGTGAAACAGCAGAGAAGCTGGTTCATCATCATCTCACCTCATATCTCACACAGTCGAGAAACTGGTTCATCATCAGCTCACCTCACATCTCTCACACCATCACCTCAGGCGTTCGGGCCAACAAGGCATCCTGAAAGTCGCTCAACTTACACGGCATTTCTATCGATCTCCAATCAGGTGCTACGAGGCATGGACCGGTCAGAAGAAACGGTTCTTACTTTGATCGACCTGAGTCGCTGTTTCGACGCACTGGACCACTCAATGTTGCTGACGAGGCCGCGGAAGCTCCAAGTATCTACAGACTGCATCCAAAGTTACCCGAGGTTACACATACAGCATGTGAGGATGGATCCGACGCTGTCTGGCCCAAAATAGTATCACCATTGGCACGTTCCCGGGGTCTTGTCTCAGGCCATTCCAGTACAACATCTTAAGCAACCACATCGCGTGCTTCACAAACGGCTTCCGTGTCACGATAATTCGGTATGCTGACGACGCACAGCTGGCCGTTACAGGCCCTCGAGGCAGATCAGAGGAGACGCGGCAGTCGCTGGAGTCACTGCTGGACGTAGCGTGCACGCGGTATTTGCAGCATGGGATGCTGTTAAAGGCCGCCAAAACCGAGCTGTTGTTATGTGGCGACCGCCGACAGCTTAGCCAAATCTGAGAGCTTCCGTCCGTAGCGTTCACTGATGGTGTGTTACAGGAAAATTCAAATAAGATAATTTTCATGCATGAATTTAAGTTACCTAAAAGTAAGTTTGATATGCTCATTGGGGATACGTGGACGCGCATTGTGTCAGTATGAGCATCAATATATTGAAAACCCTCTACGTAGTGGCTATTTCGGTTTTAGGTCACGCGGATGCATTATGAAAAGGCATACACACAAGGTAAATAATAAAATGACACGAACAATGGCCAGAGAGCTAAAACAGGCCTATCAATACACTATGGCCGTTGATCAGTGCTTAATGGTAAGAAATTACACCACGTATGGCGGTCTCAAACGTGTTCACTGCTGCGACATCACAGACGATTGCAGGCGGCTCCAGGCTGCTGCGGCTCGATACGAAAACCCCCTCTGTGCGGTGGTCAGTCGGTGTCTGCGCTGATGTAGACTACCTCTGCCCGAGACGGGCGCTTCACGACTCGAAACGGCGGCGCGTGGAGTGAAAAGCACGCGGACCTCTTGAGGCGCGCATATCTCCTTCAGCGCCCTAAACACACACCAGCTGAAGGGCATACCGTGAGATTGGCTGTACGTCACATAAAGAACCGCGGTCCGCACGGTGATGACCTGAAATATCGGTCAAAGGTCCTCTTGTACCTTTAAGGAACCCTGAGACAATGCGGGTGTCTAACTCGGCCAGAAACCACGACCACCGAACAGATAGCTTCTTGTCAGCCTGAACGCTGGGGGCCCATTTGCCAAGCAGGAGCAGGATCGGGGGCCACGATTGGCGTTGGTCTGGGTCTCTGAAACAGCGGCTGGACTCCTTTGTCGGTCAGGGGCCCACAGTGCATGCCAAGTGGACAGTCGGTCACGGACTTTGTTTGATGGGGTTCGAAGAGGGACCGGAGGACCCCGCGGGACCAAAGATCGACGGCACGGTTGGATTCGGACCCGGCCCCCACCCGTAGTGCCATGACCTGAAACGTCAGTCAGAGGGCTTTTATGAGGTCCCCTTTGCTGGGGTTCTGTATCCCTATTGTATAGGGCCTCGACACTGAGTCAAACAGTCGGCTCCATGTCCGCCTGAGCCCTTGGGACCTATTTCACAAGCAGGAATGAGGCAGGGCCCGTGATTTGCAATGTTCGGGGTCCCTGACACAATGAGGGGCTCCTGTGCCGGTCAGGGGTCGTCTGTGCCTGCCCCCAGTCGTCAGAGTGCTGACCAACATGATATGATATATCACTATAAGGCCTCCCATCGGCCAGGGGATGCCGCTCCGTGTTGCCAGCATAACGGCCGGAGGACACAACGCGGTGGGATAGAATGGCCCTTCAACCCTTCGCCGTGAACAAAATATGCCCCGTAGTGTTCTACTCAAGGGGGCCATTTTACCGAAAATGGAAGGTCCCATTAGTGTTGAATGGAGTCGATCGAAATAAGTTCAAAACGCGCCAAGCCATCCCATGTTTGCCTGAGTACGTTCATTCTTTGCAGAATCGACTGGTGAAACAAATAACACCAAAAAGTTTGAGTCTGCGCGCCAGGTGCCGATAGTGTAGTGGTCAACGCGCTTACGTTAACCCCAGGGCATCTAGGAAACTTCAGGTACGGGGTTCGATCCCTCGCAGTGCTCGCCCTTCACGCCAGGGTGAGAGGCTGGCGACGCCGTGTAGCCCCAGCAGCTGAGTGCATCATAAAGCCCTGATGACGCATCCGCAATCTCGGGGGGCAGGGAAAGCGACGACCTGGGCTGCAGTTTTCGTAAAACCAAACGGCGCTGGCCACTGCAAGTAACGCCAGGGGGCGCCGCTTGCGGTACAACAGCCAAGTAAAATAATGCTTCTGATTTTGTTTTCAAAATTAACTCGTACAGTTCAAAGATAACACCGAGCGAATCTTTTCTTACAGCCTTGAGATAGTCCTCTGCACAGATTAACGGTTACAGCAACACGAAAAATGGAGATTTTACCTTTACTGCTCCAGTTGCACCACCAGATTCCAGCACCAGCTCGCGGTGCTGTGAAGACCAATACACTATTGTCATAAATCTAAAAACCGCACAGATAAAATATACACCCGGAATATCTCTAATTAAACGATTTGGTGTCCAAAAGCGTTCAGAGGTATTTCTTTGAAATGTGTTATCATTTCCGTCCGCCTGATGGCCACAGCCTGGTGTCGGCCGCAGGGGCCGCCGCTGCGTGGCCCAGGGAGACTGTATCACGTGGCGTCGAGGGTTGTGCTGCTGAGATATGCGAGCGCACATGCACAAAACTACGCTACATAATTTATGCCACTAATCTATTCTGAGTGTTGAACATACACAGACAAACATGGCCTGGCCATGTTCATACACATTATTGACCCATTTTGATTTTCAACCTACATTTGCGGAATTCTTGATGTCTCTGTACAACCCAGGTACAAATTCTGACGTTTCTGAGTTTCATCGCTTTAAAAAGAGTTCACTAAACCATTGCAAAATGGAGAGCACTGGCGTTTTAATTGATGCACTCATATAACGCATGATTTTTTTCTGTTTATTTGCTGTAAACTACAGGGAGAATTGATATCGTGGTAAAGTCTGGCCTTTAGTCCAGTAAAGAACGCAAAATATGTAATATATATATATATATATATATATATATATATATACATATCAATATATATACATATATATATACACACATATATATGCGATATCGATTCTCCCTGTAATTTACAGCAAATAAACAGAAAAAATCATGCGTTATATGAGTGCATCAATTAAAACGCCAGTGCTCTCCATTTTGCAATGGTTTAGTGAACTCTTTTTAAAGCGATAGAACTCAGAAACGTCAGAATTTGTACCTGGGTTGTACAGAGACATCAAGAATTCCGCAAATGTAGGTTGAAGATCAAAATGGGTCAATGATGTGTATGAACATAGCCAGGCCATGTTTGTCTGTGTATGTTCAACACCCAGAATAGATTAGTGGTATAAATCACGCAGCGTAGTTTTGTGCATGTGCGCTCGCATATCTCAGCAGCACAACCCTCGACGCCACGTGATGCAGTTTACGTCTACATATACAACATCTCATAACCAAACAATTTGTTGATCTCTGGAAGTCCCAAAATTGAATGCTGCTGAAAATAAACTGTAACACTGTAATCGGCGTGTCAAACATTAACATTGACTGATATTCAGAAAAAAAAACGTTGATCACGCACATCGTCAGTGCGCCATAAAGTTCCAATGACTCCGAGCAAAATGAAAGAGGTCTGTGGTGAATATAAATAAGAATGTGAATACGAATGCACACTGGTCTTCTGATCCATCAAACATAGTTAGCCAGAAAACGAAGACAGTCGCCTGCTTACAATATTTTCAACGAACACGACTTCAAGGCATCGAAAACACACCCTTGATACGTATTCCCCAACGTACCGCAACTTATACGTTATGCCCGGGCCGGATGCGTCGCCCTGCCCGAGACGAATCCAAATCCAGTGATAGAAACCGGCATTCATAAAATGCTAACCCACCGGAAAAACAGAAGCTTTCAACGCCGATTCATACAAATGATATTTTATACTTTTATATATACTTTTGTAATGATACACATATATCAGGGTGAGAAATGAACTGTTGGTAGGATTCGGTTCTAAAGACATTGCTTTCAGATGACTGTCTGCATGCCGAAGCATTATGCCTCCACAATGAAGCTATTCGCAGGGCTTGACTTGCTCCAGCGTAAGACGCCATTGTTGTTGGCTGTTGTCGGGCTTGGAAATGCAGACAAACCATGTCTTAATGAGTTTAATGTCGTGAATCATTCATAATACACACCGCTTCGAGGGATTTGCAAATAATTAATGTAGTTGTCGTGCAACACCTCTCAAACTGCAAATGCTACTAATATGAATAGGGTCCCTGACATGATTAAAAGGCTCCTTTAACATGCAAATGGTCTTAGTTGGATACAAAATGTTTGCTTATACATCCTAATAAAACTGCATAGAAGCCGTTTGTTATCAGAGTGTTTAGTATATATTAGAAACATTTTGAACTTTTTAAAACTTTTCAGCGATTCGACTTATTGTGAAAACGGCTTTCACGCAGGTAATAAACATGCAATCTGCATAGGAGGGGCCACATGTCTATGAAACTAACGTTCTATGTTCAACGCAAGTGCTACTGCGTACATTGCTCAACATTGTTAAGCCAGCTGTCCGAACTAGCAAGCAGTTCGTTTTTCAACTGGAAACGCTGAAGGCATCGTGAGGTCTTGCGCCTGGGAGCCGTCTGACTCGCCGGTCGGGGTCGGGCCGCCCCCGCCCGCCACACGAGGGAGGGCGCCTTTTGTGCGCGGCGGGCCGCGGGGTGTGCCGCGATCCGACCGGGGCCGCGTCCCCCTGTAGGCATATCACTGGCGCCGACCCTGTTGAATCGCAGCTATTTATGGCGTGCGAGGGCAGCTTTGCTGGTAGTTTCATTCATGCCAGTTTGGAGGCGCCTGATAACGCACTCGATTTCTGGACGTTGACTAAGATAGTGATATGATAGTGCTGCAGCCATCATAAATTCGAGTATGACGCTAAAACAAAACAAAATAATACAAAAATGTGCTACTAATATGACACTTATATTCCAGCTGTTAGAAACGCACATGTTGGAATAAAAAGAGCACAGAAAGATCTATGCGAAATACAACGGCAGCTTCCGCAAAGC